AAAACCTCAATTGACATCACATTTCTGCAAAGATCCACAATGCTGTTCATGGCATCTCTGCCCCCAAATTAGTGCTTGTTTGTGAAACAGCCTCCTCAGTGCAGCCACAAGCAATCACTGCATAGAGGTCCAGCTGCCCACACGGGTGTGGGTGGGGGCTGAGGGCACAGAGAGGGATGAACCAGTGTGAGCCACGTGGAGAAAGTGGCGGGTATCGCCCTGGTACCCACGGCACCGCCTGGCTGGCTGACGGCCTGAACGTCAATTGCTATTCCGGGAAAGGGGGCAAAGTGGACTTACCTCTCCCTCGGGCCCACGTGTAGACTCGACCGGTCTCAGTGCTCCTGGGCTCTTGCTCTGCAGGCTCCACAGGCAAAGGTCGTAAGTGGGGGTCATCAGCCCGGCCTGGCGTCTTCAGGGGCAGGATATACTTGGGGAGCCCTTTGTAGAACCAGGCCCCTGATCTTTTCCAGACCTGGGTGGGAGAGACACCTGCTTAGACGACAGGATGCAGAGCAGCCCTCCCTGTATGGAGCTCCCATGGAGGCCCACCCTCCCCTCCTGGTGCAAAGTTGCAAAGTGCTCAAAAGATGCCACCTGCATTCCTCCAGCCCGACTCTTGCCCTGGAGACTCGGGCAGAGTGACAAGAGGCTGGAAGAAGAGGTGGGATGGGCCACGCAGGGTACTGGAAGCTGTGTGGAGAGCTCCTGGGGATGAGATAACCTGCAGCAGGCACAGAAAGGGCCTGACTCTCAGAGAGCCACCGAGTAGAATCCAGAGTCCAGCTGAGATAAAGCCCCTGAACTGGATGTCTACATCCAACAACTCCCAGCACTTCCTAATCTCTTTTGTGATGAAAGAAATACATTCGGGGTGTTTAATAAGAGGAGTGGGAGTGTGTGGAGGAATGATGTGACCTTTTCAAAAAAGAGGAAGCCTTGGCAGTTCAGAGCGGACGTGCCGGGTTTAAATCCTGGATCTGTCACCCAGCAGCTGTGAGTTTGGTCACATCTCGATCCTCAACTTCATTACTAGTAGGTGGATGTAAGAACAGCGCCCGTCTCACAGGGTGGCCATGAGGATCAGACTTACGAATGAACGTAAGGCCCACGGCCCAGTGCTGGGCACAGAGCAGCTACTTGACAGAGGGGATGCTCATGATGGTCACTGTCCCCCTCCTCTCATCTGACAAACGTGGGCAGCTTTACAGTGAGTGAGCCAAGTCCCCTCTCAAAAGGGAGAGGTTAAGATCAGAAGACCAGAGCCTGCCCTGATTCTCTCCAGGGCAGTATTTCGTTCTGTCCCCCGCCCCCCACTTCCTCTGCACCATATTAGTTCTGTGGGATATTAACAGGGGCTATGCTAAAAAGAAAAAACAAAAAAAAGGAAAGAAAAAATAAAAGTAACGGTTCCTGATTATGTACACTGGGAAGTGCTAAGTTAAACTAAGCTCTGAGACTGCAGGACTTCTCAGAGCCTTTACTATGCCAACGTGCACAGGGTTTTCCAACAGGCCGAAAGAATACACAGTGCTTCCCTCTTGGAACCTACCTGGTAAGTTTTCCTAGAGGAACTCAACTCTGGTCATGGGTCTGCATAGACTCAGCGCTTAGCTGTACAGCACCGACTGTTCACTTTTGAGTGATGTGCATTTATTTCTCCAAGTAGACAACAGTTGTCTCTTTATGCTACAGAGTGCCAGGCGCAGGACCACAGAGTGCAAACCCTGTCCCTGGAATGAATCATTCATCCGTCCCTCCCAGCTACCCTGTGTGGAAGGGCCTGCTTTTGTGTGGCTCCTGAAAAACGCAGAACCCCTCTAGTGGGAAGAATGCTATGTGGAATCCCCTTTGAAAATACCTTTCTGATCCTTTCATAGCCCTCCTACAATAAATAATTATTTATTTGAATTGGTAACACACGCACATGATCTAAAATTCACAATGCGCACAATTAAAAAGTCCCCTCCCCATTCCCAGAGGCATCTGGTGATAACAGTTCTTTCAGGAAGCTCTATTTTCATCCCTGCTTTTTAGATGGGAAAACTGAGGCTCCGTCCAACAAGTTAAGCAGCTTGCCCAAGGCCAGCCCACCACTCTATTAGCCTCTACGCCACATTGGAGGCCGTAGTCTCCTCCCAACACTTTACAGATACAAAGTAGATGCTCGCTAAATTGTGGTTGGGTGGTGAGTAAATCTTCAGTGGGTCATCATCATGGACACTAAGTGTCCTACAGGATGGACACCTAGAGGGGAGGTAAGCACCGTACAGGGAGAGGAAACTTATACAAGCAGCAGCTGCCCAGGCCACCCTGTCCCTGCAGAGCTGCTGCGTCGCTCCTGAGATCCCCAAGCCCAAGAC